AAATGTATGAATCATATGGTGAAAAACTGACTTTGAAAAATAAATCTGTTCTTTTTTTCTTATAAAAAGCTAAATAAAACAGAAATATTGGTGGTAATTATTGACTGTGTAACTTCACAAACGGCACCACACAGTGAGGTTTGTGAGGGTTCGATCCTCTCAGTGCCTCCTTCACTGCCTCCTTCACTGTCTCCTTCACTGCCTCCTTCACTGCCTCACAGAGCTGTACCTGCTCCAGTCCTGCACCCTCAGCCACAATCAGCACGATCACATTCCCAAAGGCCACCGTGAGCAGCCAGCCGGCCTGCAGCACCGACTTCATGTTGGTGGGAGCCTGAGGGGAAAGAAAAACAACTTTATGCTCATTTAAATGTTTGACATGAACCGTTTTTGTCTTTCTGCTGTCAGATTAGAGTAAAACTGTCTCTACTGAAATGATCTTTTTCCCACCAGTTTGCTGTTATAGTTAAAAACAGAAATGAAAGATTGAACTGAACAGTACTCTGTTGACTCAGCTGCAGTCGGCTTGGATTGATGTTGATGTGAGATTTTACATTAAAAAGATACTTCAGATCATTTTCAGTGGGGTTTTAAAGAAAGGCTATGAACACTTAATATCTTACCTGTCAAAGATGCCTCTTTTGAATGACTTCAGTTTAGAGAAACTGTTTAATTCTGACATTGGATTAATTTAATTAATCCCAGAGATCTTTTAGTAATTCATGTAAAAACTGTTTTATATGTCTTTACACCACCTTCAGTTTCACACGGCCCAGTTAACACTGAACTGTGTTTGATCCACAACGTTTTCTGCAGACTAACTTCCTGCAGGAACATTATTTCTGACTAAGAAGAAAATAACCACATGATGCAAACTGACAGCAGGATAACAGTGTCTGAACAAAACTAGCATAAATATTTGAGAAGTCATTTTAAGACAACAGTAATCCACTTCAGTCCCACTCAGACCTGTTCAACCTGGTCAGAATCAAACTTTCTTTAAACCGACAGTTTCTACAACAGGTTGATTGTTTTTGTCAAATTGGCTAAAACTTCATATGATTATTATTTTTTTGCAAGCTTTAATTTAATTGTTATTTTTTGTTGCTAATCACACAATTTACAACATCAATTTTCTATAGAGAAATGATTTATCCTGGCAAACCTTTCAAACAAGCCACACCTGTTCAATCTTTAAATGTCCTGTCCTGAACTTTAACCTTCTGACACCTGGGGAGTCAGAGCATTGTACAGTCTGACCCTGGGGGGGATTTGAACCTTTTCCAGATGAATGAACTGCTTCTCTAAGGTCAACGCTGAGGTCTTTCTTTCCTGACACTCAGTGGTGGGCACCAGCCTGCTAAAGCACAAATACACTAATTGCGGACCTAAATATTTCGTTTGCACTTTAGCGGTCTTACTAATTTTTATAATTCTTAAGCAGATTTGWGCTTTCTAAAATTAAGAAGCAGTACCACTAATAACTAATTATCTACCAGTCATCATTATGTTGAACAGCAGAAGGTATGACTGTCAATGAATCACAAC